AAGGACTGCTGGAAAGAGGTTGATGAAGCATATTTACTTCTTGATCAAATTTGATCAGATCATGGTCAATCCCAGAAAATCTGGCACTATGTCTGCCCAAACCAAGAGCATCGTGAGTGAAAGGTTCAGCTTCCTCAACTAGGGTCAGTCCCTGATCAGTGTAAGTGGTTTTAGAACCTTGACCTGATAAAATATCTTCTTCTCGGGAAGTTTCATGTTTGCCAATAGCAAAGGGCACATGCTGAAACCTGTCTTTATTGGCCTCAAACTTAATATCATTATCAATTAAGTCAGTGGCTGTCAGGTTTGATGAAGGACATGATTTAAGACCTTCCACCTGTTGCTTGCCAGATCTAAGCTCTTTCACACTAATAGATCCAGTTTCAGAAGGCAGTATACCATGAAGAGTATCTTCACTGAGACTGGCACTAAGGACCACGGAAGCTGATGGAGACTGAGAACGTTTACGAGATGCAAAAGTGATGGAAGTAATTTGCTTGACAACTTCTACCGAAGGTTTTTCTGTAGATGACAACTTCTGAGCTGAAAGAAACACATCCTCCTCTGTTGGTACACTGGAGGCATTCTCCAATTCCACCGAACATTTGTCCATATCTTTATGCAAAAGTGTGCAAAGCCCACTGTCCACATCCAAAAGATTAGCTGTGAGTGTCTGCAGCTGAGGGTGGATATGTGTTTGGATGTTATTCAAAGCTTTAAACTGTACATCCCCTAGAGACGAGTAATCAGCAGGGTCACTTCTATATATTGGTGTAACCTCTCTTGTGTTTGACTGTGGAGGGTCATTTAGTTTGAAATCTTGTGTCTGGCTGTCAATTTGGAACTGTTTGACAATTGGAGATTTGAAGTGTTCTGTGTTCTGCCTCTGACTATGGCGGTGACTAGATGTAGCCTCTGCACTGTTTCCCAATGGATCCTGTAAATGCAAAACACCACAAAGATTATTGAAAAAAATAAGTTTTGTGATAAGAACTTAACAATTCAAGTAAGGACTACAGGTGACAATCTTATTTTTGCCATTACACAGAAAATACACACATTTTGGAACACAACTGCTAATATGATTATAAATATTACAACACTAGTCTTCACATGTGCCAGAAAAACAGCCAGTACAGTCCCAAAACCACAATATACACTACTACCACTATAATTTATCTTCCTAAAAGCATTCTTCAGGATTTGGTTTTATTGTAATAAAACAGACTATAGTTTTTCTTGAGATAGGGAGAGGGTAAGTCAGTGGGCAAAATATGGCTTATGGGCCAGATCCGGCCCACCAAGCCACTGGATCGGGCCCATGGGACTCTCTGCCAGGCTTCTTGCTTGCCCTGCCCCTGCTCTGCACTCAGAGGATCCCTCTGAATGCTGCAAGTCCAAGGCGGAGGAAGGGGGGGAAGCTTCATATGCTGCCCCCACCCACAGCAAAATCTTGCATCTGCCATTAACTGGTTTCCAGCCAATGGGAGCTGCCTGTTTGCTGGACAGGCAGTGCATGAAGTATCCCTCCCCACTCCAGGCTCAGAACATTCAGAATAAGCCACACATGGCCCCTGCATCTGACGCAGGGACCCTAGCTGAGGAACCTGCTTGGCTGCTGATGGGGAGCTAACCAAGTGTCTCCTGGCCAGAGCTTGCCTCCCCTCAACCCTCTGCTCCACTCCTATCCTATGTACCCAAACTCTCTTAGCCCTTGCTCCTATACCCATAACCCCTCCCAGACTCTGCACCTCCTCCTCCAGGTCACAAACCCCTCCCAGACCTTGCACTCCAAACTCCTACCACCAGTCACAACCTAAATGTCTACACCCCCTCCTGTACTTCTGCTCCAGATCATAACCCGCTCCTAGACCCTGCACTCTCTCCTCCACCAGAGTCCCCTGCCTCAGGTCTCAACCCCCTCCTTCACCAAAAATTCCCCCTCAGATCCCACACCCACTCCTGCATCCCAATCCCTTCCCCTCAGATCCCACACCCCCTCCTGCATCCCAGTCCCCTAGCCCAAGCTCCCTTCTGCACCCAACCTCCGACCCAGACTCTGTACCACCTTCACAGAAATGCAGCCCTTGATGATTTGCCAGCCACCACCAAAAATCATTGCACACTCCTGCTGTAAGTACTTTTTCAAACAAACCTTATTCACTTCATTCACTGGGATCTTGTTCTCCCATTTTGCACACCACCAGCTATTTGTTTCATCTATCCTGTTCCATCTTGTTATAAACCTAGATTGTAAAGTGTTGTAACAGAGATTGTCTTTTTAGTTCCGGTTTGTAGGGTTCAGATCCCCACTTGGGGACTTCAGACATTAAAGAAATGACAAATATCGATATGGTGAGGCCAATAGCTACTTGGGACCCAAATGGATACTACTGCTCCATAGACTTGTGCTACTGAAGGACTATCTCCACCACTTCAGGTGAAAAGGAAACACAACAGTCCCATCTACAATTACTCATGGCCTCTAGAGGATTACTGAATTAAAAATTGGGGTTATATGAAAACAAATACATAGAAGCACCTGGCAAGTATGCCACAGAGACCAAATTCAGAGCTATCAAACAAAAACCTTTATAAAATCAGAAGGGATAGTGCAATTTTGAAGAATATGGAACTCTACTTGTCAGACATTTTTCTTTGCCATAGCTGTCACTGTAAGAAATAAAACTGGTCACATTAAAAATTATCCCTTGCTTCACTCCAACAGAATTTAAGAAACCAAGCACACATCTGTTTCACACACAAATCAAAGAAAGCCTCAATTACTGATAAAAACAAAGCAAAAAGCTGTTCTTTATACCGATACATGACAAAAATCTTTAATTAAGTTTGTTGGTTTTAATTCTCAAATTCAATAGTTCCCTTTTTCCCCATTAGGAAACAAATCTTTCCAAGAGAGCAAACTAAGCATTAGACCTACAACAGTATTATTTCTGAAAGCCAATGTCATACTGACAAGAAAATTAAAACAGAATTAAAAAAAATCCAGAGCTTAAAAAAGCAACCATTAATTAGCAACAGCTTTTTACTGTCCAGACATACCTCATCTTTTTCCATATTAAAATATGCATAGCTATACCATGGGAGCATTCTTTTGTTTTACAAAAACTGGTAAGACTGCTTGTTATTGTACTTGAAGTAAGGGGGGGGGAGGTCTTATGATTTTTAAAACCAGACTAGTTACTAACCATTAAAGACATCAGGGGCGGAACAGCTTTCTTTAATGTTTTCATCACTTATAAAAGTTAGTGTTATTTGTCATAATAATCCTCCACTTACAGAACACCTTTAATCCCAAAGAATTTAAAAAAATGTAAATTAGCACTAAACTATACACAGGAAATTACTTAATCCACCTCAAACGCTGGCACCTCTGGTATGAAACATGCAATTGCACAATAATTCACAACAATGTATAAATAAAGTCTTGCCTTGGTAGGTGAATAAAACTATTCATGGTATAGCCCATCAATTAATCCGAAAATAAGTGCTGCCCTACATTCTGATGATTTTCTCTCCTGGTCTCAGAGGATATTCTGTTTGTCAGATCTTGTGTCTTTCATCTGTCTATTAGCAAGCTATCTTGCTAGCACAGGCAGCTAAAATAAATGACAGAACTCCCATTCACTTAAATGGCAGGATTTTTCCTTTCAATTGTTAACTCCTTGGGGTACAGACTGCATCTTCCTCTATATTCTGCCCTTTAATTTCTAAGCAAAAAAAAGGAAGCAATTTTTTGTGACAGTTTCAAGGTCTCATGATAAACAATGTATATTTTAAGATGGCAACATCTACCCCTGTATGGTAGTCAATGTATGCGCAGACTTACTAAGAACAACAAACACCCAAAAGAAGGCTTTTTTAGCTGCATCTCTTGCAGGGTATGTTGATTCATTTAGTTTAACAGAAGAGGGGGAAAAAGGATGTTCCCAAGAATATCCTTATTAGCGAAGAAGCACCAAACAGAATCAAAGGACCGAAAGGGTCCTCGAGAGGTCGTTTAGTCCAGTCCCCTGCCCTCATACCAGGAATAAGTTATTATCTAGACACAAGAGCAGATGCTTGTCTAACCTGCTCTTAAAGATCTCCAGCGTTGGAGATTCTACAATCTCCCGTTCCATGAACAATTGTTGTTTGGAGCAGCTTACCTGACAGAGCAATAGGGGCATCTTTAAAAGAAAAACTAGAAATAAAATACACCTCTACAGAGCAGATCACACTGCAAACAAGTTGACAGATAAGTAAACAAACGCGAGACACCCAGATGCATGCAGAAAATTCTCTACTACTGTCTAAAATTCCCTCAAAGAGGTATACTAGCTAATGAGAAGTCACACTGTTTAACCCCACTGCAGACAGCACTGAAATGCATCAATCACGTGCCACACAGCATGCTAGAAAACCACTCTCTGTTACATCACTTGAGCCCATTACCTTTAGTAACAAATTAGCATCAGAGGAAGAGACATATACTGGAAATAGACAAGACATTTTTGATCAGCAAATTTTACATCAGTCTCACTAGAGACCATATTTGCTTCATAAAAATCTTAATCCCTGTCCAATTTCTTTAGAAACAGAATTCCACTGACCAAGACAAAAGTAAAAATGTAAACATCAAATAGGCTGGAAGCACTTTATAGACTAACAAAACATGTACATCGGGTATGTCAAACTGGCATTTGGCGGGCCGCATGTGGCCTGATCTAATTTTTTTGCCACCTGCCACTAAATTTTTATAAAGGAATAAAGTGCGGCCTGCTGGCCGCTCAGAGCAAGTGGCCGAGTGCAGATCACAGCTGGCAGATCCCTGTCTGGGATCCTCTGCCTCCTATCCAATACCCCTTCTTCCTGCCCCCCGACCATGCTCCCTGGAGCAGCCAGACTGTCACCAACTGCAACTGCTCACGGTCAGGGCCGCTCTGCACATGACACCCAGCATGTGCTCACAGCTGGCCGGGCCGCTCTGCGCTGGGCGCTCTGCACACGCACTCACAGCCTGTCAGGCCGCTCTGTGGTGCTGGGCGCCCAGCATGCGCTCACAGCTGGCCACTGTGCTCATGCCGCCCCAGTGAGCCTGAGGAAGAAATGTGTGGCGGCGGCAACAGCAACTCTGGGTCCGAGGTATTAGGTTGGGGGAGCTGGGAGTGCCTGGCTGTGGGGGAGGGAGGAGACATTGGGTTGGGGGTGTCTGGCTCTGGGGAAGGGAGGAAACATGGGGTGGGGGACCTGGCTCTGGAGGTGTGGGTTAGAATGGCAGTATGGGAGTACCTGTCTCTGGGGGAAAAGAAGGGAGCTATTTTGTTAATATTTTGTTTTTTATTTATTTATTCCCAAATAAAATCACAAAATGTATATTAATTTTATATCAATAAATGTGTCAATTTTTTGCAACTGCATGGATAATTATATGTTTATGCAATATCTCAAATTTACAAAGTATCTGAAATTTTCACAGAAGCGTGTACTATTTGATTAACCAGTCTATACCTGTTTTCATTTCAACAAAACAAGTTATGTATCATATAAAAAATTTAAAAGTACCTTAAATTTACATTTAAATTAAAAATTATTTTATATGAGCAAACAATAATTTTACTCATCAAATTATTGTATATATTAAAACAAGACCTGAAAAGTTTATAAAATATACCTAAAGCAATCTATAATAATAAATAATTATGACTTTCTGATACAGTATATTTTCTTTGGTGGCCCTGAAAGCTATCAGTTTTCCTTTGTGCGGCCCTCGGCAGGCTTCGAGTTTGACATGCCTGACGTAGATAGTATCATGAGCTTTTGTTGGCACAGCTCAATTCTTCAGATCACGTGGGCTGTATCCACAAAAACTCATGATACCATCTACATGTTTTGTTAGTCTATTAAGTGCTACCAGACTATTTGTTGTTTTTTAAG